AGGGCAACACTGCCTCGACTCAAACTTAAAAACAGCTGTGCAAACAAAGTGAGGGTGAGGGGCAGGTGTGTAAGATACAAGGAAGAGACACATGACACACATGACTATTCTGAGACAAAGCTCTATGGAAGAACTTAGTGCTCAGTATATGGCAGGAAATCTGCCAACTCTGTGCATGCAAACCCTTCCCTCTGTAAGTTAGCTGTTTGAAAACGATGATCAAATTGTATAGTGATGAATTTCTATTTTAGTAAGGAATGTTAGGACAATATAGAGCATGTTATATGTACAAAATAGGGTTACATTCACATTCTATCTCTGTAAACAGTGACTGCATATAGTCCTTGTTTACCTCTGTCTATCTTCACACACACACACACACACACACACACTACTCATCAATAAACTATCAATCATAATAATTTATTGGACACTTCTGACTTGTTTTAAATTTTTTTCTTTAATTTGTGTATAGTCCCTAACTTAGTATTATTTCATTTATAATCTACTTTCCTGTCCTATATATTTCAGTTTCCCCAAGTGTTTTACCCTGAACTCTAATTACTCCAAAGTGCTCTTTGCGCTTTGGACTTTGGCATACCCTCCTGAGACCTTTTGGGTTCAGTCTTTGGTTTGGATCAGTAAACTAGTATCTAAGTACAGTTCACTTATGTCTCTGCATGGAGGAGACTGAAATAACTATAAGTAATTTTGAGTAGATTTCTCTGACTTATCCATCTTATGGAGCCATAATAAGCTGCTCATCAGAACTACCTTAAAAATGCAAGTCCTGTTTTTAGAGATTATAACTCAGAAAGTCAGAAGCAGTTCCTAGGCATCCATCTACTAAAAGTGTCAAATTTGAGTTAGCTGGGCAGTTAGAGATCAGAAACACTATTGTAAAAATTGTAGGAGAGGTTTTATTCTTTTAATCTTCTCTCTCATACTTTAGCCAAGAGAAGGCAAGAAAAATGGAGACGGGGTTGGGAAAGAGAGAAGAAAATATTACCTCCGCCATCTAGTTTCTGAGATGACAAAGTGTGGCAGGCCAGATCTAGACAAAACGCAACATTAGTGAAGTTTACCTTTGTTATTTCTATCACTTGTTTTTTTCCCTACCCTTCCAATCTTTCTCAACCTTCAAAATATTTGCAGGCACACTCACATTACAAATATTTCTATCCATTTCATCATATAACCCAGTTCCCCTTATTCTTTGCTTTCTGGACAAGTAAAACTCCCAACGCTATGTTCATTTCAGGTAAGTCTGAGAAGAGCAAGTAACACTGAGGCATTACTATTAGCTGCTGCCACTTAAGCTCAGTATTGTTTACTTGATGATCTCAATGATCCTCAAAGTGTAAGATATTTTGGACAGGACAGCCTCTCCAAGAATTCATTATAACTAAAAGGAGATAAAAGGAGAGTATTGCTGCCAGACATTGTTGAAACAAACCTTTCTGACACTTTTTGTTTGACACCTGGGGTCGAAAATGCCCCACGTACTCAGTTCACAATGGCAACTTCTACACTAGAGAAGAGAGGTAAAAATGATTTTACCCAGGCAGGATGCAAAACTGAGAATCTGTTTACTAAGAAGTTTTTATTTTTAAGTGTGGAAATGTGAAGCTATTTTGTTCAACTAATTTTCCCAGAAGACTCAAAGATTATCTTATGAATTAATACTAAATAAATAAAACTAAGTGAGTCAAGAAAAATTCTGGAAAATGGCTTATGGGGTAAATTGAAATGAGAAAATGGAGGCCTTGTTGACATTTAAAATTGTCCCTTTCAAACCCATTAAAATGAACATTAAGATTATGATCAGAATTATTTCTGAGAAAGATATAAGAATAGGATGAAAGAAAACACAGCAACAAAGAAAATGACAAACAGAAGGAAACATGATTGAGAAAGTAGGTTATCACCCCATGATTTGGCTACTCCATCTACATTACTATTTTACCATTTTGATTAATTTTTAGTGATCTTTCAAGACAGAGTGGGTACCATCACACTGGAACATACCCTCAAATACTGCCCATTTCCCATTAGATTGACCTATATGCTATTTTGCTATAATATTCTGTCTTATGGCACCTTCTACACTATTTCAAAAATGGTATCTGAGGATTAGAAAATAAAGATGAACACTAGTGCCATATTTTGTGCTCCCCAGTCTTTATAGAGAACTAACCATCTATTCTCTAAATTTCAATTTTTTAAAAGGCAAATACCACTACTTTAAGAAAATATAAACTATTTAGGACTGAATAAATCATATGAAATAACCTTGTAGTCAATAAAAAGAATAAGGCAGCATTCTATGTACTGGTATGGAAAGAAACATCAAAATACAGTAAGTAAATAAAGGTAATTAACTCATAATCTATTAGGCTCCCTCCAACTATAATAACAAAGAGCATGAATGTACGTACAAATATTTTGTTTTCTGGAAAGATACACAAGAAACCAAAAACAGAGGTATAGGGACTTAGTTTTTATTTTCTTCTTTGAAATCTTTCTATATTATTTGAAATGTCTATTCTAAGTGACTTTTTTTTACAAATAAAAAAAAATTTAGGTTACTAACAGAGATTATCTGGATCCTGTGATAAAGGTTATTTTTTACATTCCTTGAGGGTGAAGACAATATTTCACACGTCCTCATTGCTTAGCACAGTGTGGAACACAGTTGGCATTCAAGGAATGTTTGTTGAACTGAACTGAACTCTGCTTGCCATCTGTTTGAGTCTCCTATCTCTTCCTTAAAGTATTTGTATGGGTTCTATCCTCATCTCCTTTTATTATACATAAACTACCAGGCCCAGTGCTTTGAAACTAGTAGATGATTAATAAGTGTTTGTTCAAACCAGTCATAAAATCTACTAGTATTATGCAGCTGCCAGTGCAGCAACAGTGATTTTTTTCTATCCCCATTCACTTGTTCTCAATTATTTTTTTAACACACATTATACTAACATTGATTTACATTAACCATCTTTGAGGCAATATGATTAGTTAGAAGATACAAAAGTGAATAATTTCCAGTCTATCTACTTTAAAGACAAAACTATCACATCTTTCCACTGCAGGAAAGAAGTAGGAGTGAATAAAAGTGTGGTTGTACCAGTCTTTCCCTCATACATTACTGTTGGAAATGTAGACTGGTCTAGCCCCTATGGAAAACAGTATAGAGGTTTCTCAAAATATTGAAAATAAATCTACCAGACAATCAAGCAATTGTACTCCTAGATATCTACCAGAGGAAAGCAAAATATTAATTTGAGGGAATATATATGCACTTCTGTGATCCCTGCAACACTATTTACAACAGCCAAGTTGTGGAAACAATTTAAAATGCTCAAGGACAGATGAGTTGATTAAGAAGATGTGGTATATATACTGCAAGGTAATCTACTCAGCTATAAAAAAAAAAGGTGAACTCTTTCCATTTGCAACAACATGGATGGAACTGGAGGAGCTAACACTAAGCAAAATAAGTCAGCAGGAAAAAGACAAATATCAGATGGCTTTACTAATATGCGCAGTATAGAGAAAGTATATACTGATCATGAGGCTGAGGCTACAGAGAGGGAAGGGGAAGGTGGTGAGCAAAGTTGTAGAGGACACCCAGTGGACAATGGAGGAGGACTATAGGTGCCCTGGTGGTGGAAGTTGTGTCTTAACATTCTGAAGAGATGTGTTCCTTTACCCCTGAATCATATACAGTGTTGTAAACCAGTGTTACTTCAATTTAAAAAAAAAAAAAAACGGGCCTTCCTGGTGGTGCAATGGGTTGAGCGCCACGCTATGAAGCTGTCCGCAGCCTCTCCAGTGTGGGTCTGATTCTGGCCTGCCAGGGAGCAACCCACATGGTGCAGCAGACCTCTCCTGCCTCTCCCGCTGCTCCCCTCAGCAGTGGATTTCGGTCAGTCTGCCTTTTCTGCTCCCCATTCTGTCTCTGGTGAATTCTCTCACCCTCCCACATCTCTGACCTGTACTCCAGTTCTTGTATAAATAAATAAATCTTTAAAAAAAAAAAGCCATGACATAAATTATAATTGCACATCTCTATTTAATAGCAAACTTTGCAGTTCTAAGGATTAGAACTGAAAGTTTCTATACTGCAAATTTGTAGACAAATTTCAATATAATTAAATATAATTGGACATCATTTTTACCTCTTGGTCATGACTAAATGAAAAACAATTTTCATATTCATCTTGGTTTTAAAACTGAGGAAAAGAGTAAACAATACAATTCATATACAACTTTCTGACCTAAAAATTTTTAGGAAGGGCAACTACACTGATTAAGACTATGCTAAGCTAATATAAAAGAGAACTGTTAATATTAATGGAGTAAATTTCCATCTAATCTGGAACAGTGTTTTGAATCTGTATCTTATGGAGAGAAATAACTACATCAAATGGAGGAATTTCAGGAGTTGCTCTGGAGGAAGGCTGTGGGGTGCCTTCCGGTGTACTCATTCTGTACTTGGCTCCTCAGATACCTTTGAGTTTGAATTCTATTTTGATGAAATTGCGTAATTTATAGCTTTTAAAAAACCTACCTATGCTGGTCCTTTAAAATACAGTAAGGTATTTTTTTTGAACTATATCAATATTACCTATAAAATGGAGAAAATGTAGAAAATGAAAGCAAAAACCCTGCATTCTATATTAATGACAACATAACTTTACTATCTCAGTAATTGTGCATATTACAAGTTATTTTTAAGCAGCAATTCTCTAAAACACACACCACACAACATTTTCAAATGTCTGTCAAGTTTTCAGAATTCATTAAAACTATTTTTGACCAAAGAATCTGTAAAAGAATACATAATGTGATTGCATATCAAATCAAGAATATGAGATGTTATCTCAAATGTTAACTCAAAACACAACAATGTAAAAAAAAAAACAAGAGAGAGAAACAGAAAGCAGCCATGATTCCAAAATAAATAAGATTATGAGGCATGTAGAACCTTGTACCTTTAAGTGGGTTTTCAAATTCTTCAGATAAGAGGTGGTAGCAACAACCCACACTGCAAATACCCTTGATTTCAGACTTTGATGTAAATATTCGCAGTGTATTGGGAGCAAGATCACCGCAAGTATGTAGACCAACCATCAAGCAATCCTTTAAAGGAGAGGAAAAATAAATAAATTTTGGAAATTAAAAGGTGGCTGAACAAACAGTTCAGGTGAATGCTAATGTTAAAGAGAATATGTGGCGTTTTCAAAAATTATCAACTTCTACCCAGGAAGTATTGCATGTGTCTCTCATTTTAATAATGAATGATGATGTCCTTTATAAGCAAAATAACTGCTCTCTTATCACAAGTAACATCTTTTAGAGTTGTTTCTCTAGTGTTATTGGTTACTTATCCATTTGAATTTATTATGATTTCTTTTACAATTATTATTTGCCTAACAACTAGCCAAAGTAAAGTCAATGAAATATAGCAGGTGTTACTAGGATAACTCTGTATTGTGAAAAATATTTACACCTTAGTAATCAAAACTTTTACTCACTTCTTCACAAATTGCCCATGAAACTTATAAAAAACAAGTTAAATGTTTCTAGGCCAGTATTTCTGCTCCAACATCAAAAGTTTATTTAGTTATTTCATTGCATCAAATATGGCAATATTAAATTCCAAATAAACTTTTATCCTAAAGTTTTTCATTTAATTTGTGTAGAAATTCTCTTGTGAAATGTTTCTTCTATTATCAATAGCCTAACCTAAATGCATACACACACATAATGGGTACATATACACATGCTCATAGAATCATGATCAATTTACCAAGTGTAATTTTTAGTACTGCAGTTTCCTCATTTGTAAAAAGTGAATAGCAATAGTATTTTATGTTAATGGATTTTTGTAGGATTGAAATAAATTAACACTGACAAATGACTTAGTATAACCTCTAGCGAAGAATAAAATTCATTAAATGATTTTTATTCTTATTATCACTTTATCACTACCATAAATTCAAAATAATAGGAAGCTGTGATTCAAATACACTTCTATAACTACCCTCAGAACTACTATAATTAGACCAGAGGGGAGTGAGCACCCATGCCAGGGCAGACCAGGCGCATCGCCATTTTAGAACAGGGACATTTCTTCAGTAAAGATTGTTTGAAACCGGCAGAAGGCTCCCGAAGGAGCCAGGGGTGAGCTGGTAAGTTTGTCCACGCCAGGCCCCTTCTGACCTGCAGTCTGAGTCCTGAGGGGGAGCGTAAACCCACCGCCAGGGCAGACCGGGCATGCAGGGGAGCGCGTCCCCGCATTGGCATTTTAGAACAGAGACCTTTCATCAGGAAATACTGCTTGAAATCAGCAGAAGGTTCCCAGAGGAGCCAGAGGTGAGCTGGGAAGTTCACCCAAGATGCCGGCCAGTACCAGCAACACAGTGTCTCAAGGCATAAGGCAAATTAGAAAACAGGCAGTAGGGAGTAGAAAAACCACATGTAACCCAGGAACTCCTCAGGGAAAAAGTACAGCACAAAAAGAAAACCACCCCCAAGATGGCAATGACAGTAACTTGGAAGAACTTCTGAGTCTTCCAGAAAGAGAATTTAAAATTGTCGTGATTAAAAAACTGACAGAAGTCATAAAGGAAAACAATGACAAGGGGAAAATAATCAATGATCAGAAGAATGAAATTGAATCCCTAAAGAGGGAAGTAAAAGAAATGCAGGAGATCAAAGAATTAATGGAGGCACTAAAGAACTCTGGGAAAAGCAATGAAAGCAGAGTAGATGAAATGGAAGAACAAATAAGTACTCTTGAAGACACAGAAATAAAAAGAACCAAAACAGAAAAGGAAAGAGAAGTACAAAGGAAAAAGACCGAAGAAAGACTTTGGGAACTATCTGACTCCATGAGGAAAGGAAATATAAGAGTTACAGGAATACCAGAAGGAGAGGTGAGAGATGTAGGAACAGAGAAAATATTCAAGGAGATAATTGAAGAGAACTTCCCAAACGTGAAGAAGGAGCTGAAAATTGATATACAAGAAGCAAGAAGAACACCCAACTTCCATGACGAAAGGAAAAATACAGCAAGACACATAATAGTAAAGCTCCCAAGAATCCAGGACAAGGAAAAAATAATGAAGCTGACAAGAGGGAAGAAACAGATAACATTCAAAGGAAAACCAATCAGGCTGATATCAGACTTCTCCAAAGAAACACTACAGGCAAGGAGAGAGTGGAGGGACATAGTCAACAGACTCCAAGAAAACAGATGTCAACCAACAATACTCTATCCCGCAAAGCTCTCCTTCCTCTATGAAGAAAGAATAAGGACCTTCCCAGACAAACAGAAACTCTGGAATTTCATTACGACTAAACCCACACTCCAAAAAATACTACAAGGAGTCCTAAAGCCAGAACCTCAGAGGGACGAATAACAACAAAAGAAGGACAAAAAAAAAAGTTATTAAAAGAATAAATAAATAAAATCAAAGGAAAGACAAACACAATGGCAAATACAGATGCTAATATATCAATATTAACTCTAAATGTAAATGTACTAAACTCTTCAATAAAAAGACACAGAGTCGCAGGCTGGATTAAGAAACAAAACCCAGCATTTTGCTGTCTCCAGGAAATACATTTAGCTACAAAAGATAAAAATAGACTCAAAGTTAAAGGATGGAAAACAATCCTACAAGCAAATGGACCAAAAAAGAAAGCAGGAACAGCTATAATTATATCAGATAAAACAGATTTCAAACTCAAAAAGATAAAAAGAGACCCCAACAGTCACTACATTATGATCAAGGGGACAATACTTCAAGAAGAAATAACACTCATTAACATATATTCACCAAACGAAGAAGCACCAAAATATGTCAGACAACTATTGTCATCTCTGAAAACAGACATCAGAGAAAACACATACGTAGTGGGAGACTTCAACACACCACTATCAACAATGGATGGAACAACGAGACAAAAAAATCAGTAAAGACACTAAAGCTCTAAATAAGGACCTAGAGCATTTGGGCTTAACAGACATCTATAGAACACTAAACCCCAAAAAAATGGAGTACACATTTTTCTCAAGCGCACACAGATCATTCCCCAGGATCGATCACATACTGGGACACAAGACAAACATCAACAGATACACCAAGACTGAAATCATACCAACCATCTTTTCTGACCATGAAGGCATCAAACTAGAAATAAACCATAAAAAGAAGGCAAGGAACTCTCCTACCTCATGGAGATTGAAAATCACACTATTGGAAGAACACTGGACTAATGAGGAGATCAAAGAAGAAATTAAAAAATTCTTTGAATTGAATGACAAGGAGGACACCAATTTCCTAAATGTAAGGGATGCAGCAAAGCAGTAATAAGAGGAAAATATATAGCAATAGAGGCTCAGATCAAGAAACAAGAAAGAACTCAAACAAACAACCTAATCGTGAAGCTCAAAGATCTAGAAAAAGAACAACCAAAAAAACCCCAAAACCAGTAGAAGAAAAGAAATATAAAAAAACCAAAGCAGAAATAAATGAAAGCAAAACTAAAAAAAAAAAATCCAAAAGATCAATGAAACCAAGAGCTGGTTCTTCGAAAAAAATCAATAAAATAGACAAACCCCTAGCCAGGCTCACAAAGGAAAAAAGGGAGAAAGCACAAATAAACAGGATCATAAATGAAAGAGAGAAATCACAACGGACACAGCAGAAATCAAAAGAATAATCAGTAACTACTATGAACAGTTATATGGAAACAAGTTCAACAATCTAGAGGAGATGGACAAATTCCTACAACTCTACAATCACCCAAAGCTAGATAAAGAGAAATAGAACACCTAAACAGACCAATTACAAGCAGTGAAATTGAAATGGTAATCAAAAACCTCCCCAAAAACAAAAACCCAGGACCTGATGGATTTACAAATGAATTCTACCAAACATTCAGAGACGAATTAGTGTCTATCCTTCACAAACTCTTCCAAAAAATTGAGAAGGAAGGGATAATACCAAACACGTTCTATGAAGCCAGCATTACACTAATACCAAAACTGAACAAGGACAACACAAAAAAAGAAAAATACAGACCAATCTCCCTAATGAACACTGATGCAAAAATCCTCAATAAAGTTTTAGCTAACAGAATCCAACAATGTATCCATAAGATAATTCACCACGACCAAGTAGGATTCATTCCAGGGACCTAAGGATGGTTCAACCTCTGAAAATCAACCAACGTTATCCAACACATCAACAAAAAGAAATATAAAAACCATATGATAATATCAATAGATGCTGAGAAAGCTTTTGACAAAGTGCAATACCCATTCATGATAAAGCCCTTGAAATTCTTGGATACAAGGAACATACCTCAACATCATAAAGGCCATATATGACAAGCCAACAGCCAGTATCATTCTCAATGGTGAAAAGCTGAAAGCATTTCCATTAAGATCTGAAACAGACAAGGATGTCCACTCTCACCATGCTTTCAATATAATACTGGAAGTCCTAGCCAGAGCAAATAAGACAAGAGAAAGACATACAAGGAATCCAAATAGGAAAAGAAGAAGTCAAACTATCACTATTTGCAGATGATATGATAATGTACATAGAGAACCCCAAAAACTCAACTCATCAATCAGTTCAGTAAAG